GCCATCTTCAGACCTGGACACAAGTGGCTGAGGTGCACACTGTGTTCAAGAGGGTTCAGTTAAATTTTAGATGAAAAAGAGTATGGGACAGGTAGGTTCACTGATACCACAGAATGGTTGTATACAACAAGCTTGCTATGTCCATCTGTGCAGGTATAAACCTATTGACTGGAGCAGGGTGATGGTGCTTTTAATTTCCAGTGAGATCCAGCTGTGTGACTTCAAGGCTGTGCTGTAGATGTGCATAAAACACCATCTGGATATAAGGGGGCATCCGGCTATGTGGAGTGGGAAGTAATATCAGCAGATGTAAAAGCTAGAGACAATGCTCTCCTGGGTATTGTTGGCTGTTGAATTCACTGGCTCACAGCTTTGGGATCCAAATCTTCTAATCTTGCAATTTTTACTGGTTCTTGAGCATATCTGACAAATTCACAACAGCAATTTATCAACTACCCTGCTGCTGATAAACCTCAGGGTATAAATTAATAAATCAAGGTATAAACCTCAGTGCAATTTGATTCCCTAGGTCTTTTCTTCTATAGGAATTTCTGGTTTAGGTGTAATAAAACTTATCAGTGTATTAGGCAACAGCCCTGGCATAGTTAATGCAGCTGATAACAGGAAAAAGGGCACAAGCATATGCTGATCTTGTTTTAAGAGTTGAAATAATCCATCAGATATTAATTTTTCAAGATGCAAACCGCATCTATGAAATGTGTGCCTGCCCACCTTTCTGAGAGATCAGGCTTTAGCTTGCAAACCATTTGGGGCATGAATTGTATCTTCTCTCAGACCCCGTAAGAGCAGAGCCGTATCAGTGCTGTGGTTAGAAGAGCCTTCAGGCTGACTAGTCACACCACACCTTGGGTTTCTTCCATGTGAGCACTTAATTAGATTGAACTCTGCTAATTTAAGATAACAAGATAAGGTTAGCCCGGTTAAGTGTATGTGGCGATTTTATCTGCTATCAGCGGTAGGCTTTGTCTTTTTCTCTTAGGTGTGTTTAACTTGCAATTCCCCACAAGGTTGTTATCAGCACTCACCTGAATGAGAAGGAATCAGGAGCTGCAGTTCTGCAGGGAGCAGGCAGCCCTGGAGAGGGGGGAAAGTCATGGAGCACTGTGCAGGCCTTCAGGGGAGACACTGGCCAATGTTTAAAGTCAGGTGGGAGCTCTTTGCCTGTAAATAGTGCACATACACAGACACACACCCAGCTCTGCACTCTCTCAGGCTCTGGAAAATGTAAAGACCTTTTGAACTTACTTGTTTTTTAAAGCCTTTTGATACCATGTTTTGCACTTTCTAAGAAGACCAAGACAAAATGATTCCGTGATTCAAGGGAAGCTGAGATTTCCATCTTATCAGTTACTTTCAAGATAACTGTTAAAAAAGTAAAAAGAGGGTGGTGATGTAACATCATAGGCTGGAGACACCAGAGCTGAGTATTTTGTAAAGTACCAGGGATTTGCAAGGTAGGAGCAGAGGTGCAGGTTTGTGTCCAGGTGTGTGGAAGCTCTGACACGGCAGCTCACTGCTAGGACACAGGCAGCTGCTCTGCTAAGCCAGGGAATTGCTGATCCCAGAGTACCTGCAGTTATGTCTGAGCGATCCTGGAAACAGCCACCAAGATTTCCTCCAGAAGCTGGAGGTGAGGAAATGCTCCCAGATGAGCAGCATCTCGATGTGCCATTGGGACCCCACATCTGATCCTCTGTGCTGGTGTTGATGATCCAGTGCCCAAGAAATCAGGACAAACCAAGTGCTCTGACTACTGGTTGTGATCTCATTGCATCTGACTGCACCTGCAGGGGAGCTACAGTAGGAATAGCAGCATTTCCCTGAGCTCCATTTGCATTTTATGAAAGCTGACTTCAACCTGCTCCATGGTTTGGAAGGCAGAAGGGAGAACAAGGATACAGGGCTCAGGTAACACTGTTCCTCTGTCTAGAGCAATGAAGATGGAATGAATCAGCATAGATGAAAGAAAAGCTATTTCTCTTCTTTGTTCTTGTTGTATTTATTCTCATTAGTATTATTCTCAGTAGTATTATAACAAATTAATAGTGTAATAGTATAATTATCATATCAACATATATAATTATTATTATATTATATTACATTTGTTTATTATATTATTATATAGTAAGAAATAATAAGATATAATAATAAATAATTATTATAATTATTAACAGTATTATGTAGAAAAACTATGTTCCTGAAAATCTTCCTCTCCTGAGAATGGTGACTTCACATTCAAGTATAGTGAGAAATGCTGAAAGCATGCAGGGAAAATGTCGTCCCTTCTGTTGTGTGCTATCTCATAATAATAATTTGGGGCTTCAAATATGGAGCATAACCTCCCTCAATCCTGTACAAAATAAACACTAAAAATAAACAGTCTCACCCCAGAAGTGTCTATAACCTGTGTATAAGGCATCTGTCCTGCAGAGAAAGGATGTTGCTTTGGAAAGCTACCAGTATGCCTTGATTTTAAGTACCATATTCAGCTGAATATTTGCACATTATTTTATTACAGTTCTGGAATTTATTCAAGTTAGCCTTTCCAGCTTCTCCTCATCCTGTGATTCATGCAGGTGTCCCAGCTCATTTAGAAATCAGTCCTATCTGAGGTCAGCCTATCTACAAAATTAGCTCCTTGGCAGATGCTGGCACCTCAGCTACTGTGAATGGCCTACTGCAGATCACTGATAACTTATGTAACCTCCAAAGTCATTTTGTCATGCTAAAGATCATTATTTGTTCTTCTTTGTTCTGCCTTTCTGAGGTTAGAATCTGTAAAAATACATGAATATTGTAACAATTAATTTTTCTCTTCCCTGTAGTTTCTTGCAGCTCTCATCTTCATAGTTTTTTTTCAGACGTGGCTGAGAAGGGCCTTGACTCACAAGCTGTCCACTTCTCCCCAGCTGGTGTCCATGATCTTCAAATGTGCTTCTCCCCTCCCCTTTAAACATAAGCATCAAACTCTCTTTTATGTGTTTTCAAAAGGTTTGGATTTTAACCATCAGCAGATGCAGCAATCAGTCATTTAGTACTCACATTTTGAGATTAACTTCAGTAAGTGGCAGTAGCATGGGACAGATTATGTGTATAATGTGTTGTCACTATCACATTTATCTAACAGTAATCAGATATCTGTAATTCTGTATTCATTAGTTCATTGGTAAATGAAGCTGTGCTGCCAGATAGCATTCTCTGCTTTGGCTATAGAACAGTTTAAAGGTCCATGTTTGGCTTTGGGGTGTTTCAGCTCAGGAGAAAAAAGTTGATGCTGTAAACTGGTGTTGCTGACTGAAATGAATGCTCCCCCTGCTCCTCTCTTTGTTTGCACTGAATGGCACCACCACAGAAGCAGCAGCCAGGGAGCATCGAGAAACAGCCACAACCTTTCTGTATGTGCAGCAAAATGCTACACTGAGAATAAATATTTGTCATACCCTACAGGTCCTACAAAGTTGCAGATGGAAAAAAAAATTAATCTAGTTTCAGGCAACAAAGAAATTAGTGCTACAGCTAGTCCTTCCCTATATTTCTGTACTACATCCCCATGTAATTTTTGAGACAGCTTCCAGCATGTTCCCCCAAAACATGAGAATGGGGGGTCAATAAGATTAAATATTAACATTGGAGTTGGGTACTAATGTCTGACCTTATCACTAGTCTAAAATTGGATATTTAATAAACATCATGAGACGGGGAAATCTCTTCTAATAGCCTCTGAATCTTTAAAGTGCGGCTTCCCCAGCTCCATTCCGTGCAATAAGCTCTCACCACAGCCTCTGCAAGTATTTGTCTAAAGCATGAACTTCATGCCAGTTCTCTTTAATTTTTAAATATTGATGGTAGCACAGTTTTTAGTCCATTAGGGTTTTTTAGGTGCCCCTTGCTGCCTCTTCACCTCTCCTCTCCTGGCCTCCATGTCAAGAGACAGTTCCTGGCATGTTTAATTTACTAATACAGTTGTCTTAGTAATTAGTAATAGTAGTTAGTAATTATTATATTAATAGTTGCAATAGTAATTAGTAATTATTAGCATCCTACAGTCTAGGATGCCATTGAAAAGGGTATGCATTTAGCTTTTGCCCCTGAGCTGGGGCTGTGTTAGCTTCTGTTTAAATAATAGGTTTGTCTCTATCAGCATGGGCAGAAAATGAGCTTGGACTCAATGCCAGCTTGGGTCTATTGCAGAATACAGTGTGGCTTTTTCTGCCTTCTCCTTCCTCTGAAATATTCCCTCTCTGTTCCCTTTCTGACAACTTTCTGCATGTTTCACTACCAATTTAATCCTGAAGCAGAAGAACACAGATGCGGTGAGATGTTTCTGATGAAGACTTGGTATACAACAGGCAGTGATGACACCATTTTTCTGCAAACCTGCATGAATTAGGGTCAGCACATAACATGATTAGACATGTGTGACCCCTGCTATCCGGAAACGTGGAAGGGCCAGCTGCTAATCACAAACTTAGGGGGTGGGTCAAGCTCTTGGAGCTCCTGTAATGAGTTATGCAATAAATGGACACACCTGAGAGCCAGGATGCCATCCAGAGGGACCTGAACGGGCTTGAGGAGTGGGCCCATGTGAAACTGATAAGGGAAAACCAGGCTGACTACAAGGCTATGAATCTGGGTCAGGGCAGCCCCTGGTGTCAAAGGCTGTGGGATGAGCAGATTGAGAGCAGCCCTGCCAAGAAGAAAGTGCTGGAACTGGTGTATTAAAAGCTGGATGTGAGCCAACAGTGTGCATTTGCAGCCCTGAAAGCCAGCCATGTGCTGGGATGCATCCAAAGCACAGCAGGTCAAGGCAGGTGATTGTGCCCCTCTACTTCAGTCTTGGGGAACCCCACCTGTAGTGCTGCACCCAGCTGTGGGGTCCTCTGCACAAAAACCCCAGGGACTTGTTGGAGCAAGTCTAGGGTAGGGTCACAAAAATGACTGGAAGCTTGAACACCTTTCCTAAGAGGAAAAGCTGAGAGAGTTGGGGCTGTTCAGCTTGGAGAAGACAAGACTCCAGGGAGACCTTGCTGCAGCCTCTCAGTACTTAAAGGAAGCTTATAAGAAAGGTGTGGACAGACTTTTTAGCATGGCCTGTTGTGATAGGACAAGGGTAGTGATTTTAAAATAAAAGACGGTCAAATTAGACCAAATATAAGGGGTTTTTTTGGTTTTTTTTTTGGTTGTTTTTCTGGGGTTTTTTGGGTGCAGAAGGGGTTGGACTAGATGACCTTTAAAGTGCACTTCCAACCCAAAATGTTCTGTGATTCTATGAAATGACAAATGTCATTGCATGATTAATGTCTGTGACCTTCTCATGAGATTGCTTGTGTGGAAATAGCTTGTTGAAACTATATTTTTATAACTTCTGCACAAAAGTGTGGACTTCATCGGTAAAAACTGGTACTTTCTATCAAAGCCTAGCTAGTCCTGTACTGGATTTAATAGTATAATGCAGCTTGCTTAAAAAATGCATGAATTTTCATGTCTTTCTCCTACTGGCTGGCCTTGCTAGCATGGTAAACAACATGGTATAAGGAGCACTGGCTAATTGTCTTATTCTAAAAGAACCTGTTCGCCTTCTCTTAGATAAGGAAAGGTTTTGGTAAAGATTGTACTGAACTCTCGATACAAAATAACTGCTTAGCTGAAGGATGACAGTGGAGACTGAAAATTAAAAGCTCAGTGCCAAATGAAAGCCTTGAGGTGAGGATTAATGTGTGTAACTCGTGTCAATAAATCCAGTGTCAATAAAGCCCAGTGTTTACTGTGGGCTCAACCATAAGTTGTCTCTCCTTCAGGTTCCCAAGCCACCTTTGTAGCCATGGGTTATTAAGGTTATTAGTCCTGTTATAGCTTTGCTTGGCCAGTGTCTACTGCTCCTCTCAAAAATTCCAGCATCTGTAGTGTGGATCATGCAGCTCCCTGCATCACCTCCTTTTTTGAGGTGCTCTGGGTGGCTCCAGGGGGAAACAATGCAGAAGCCCAGGGCAAGGGAGACCATGAGCTCCAGTGTGCTCATCCCTGAGGCAGAAGAGTGCACTTGCACTTGTGTCAGCATTTGTGCTGATGTTGGCACGGTGCCCTGGCTTCCACTGCCGTGACCCCGGAGCAGCACTGCACACATGCAAAAGCCATGGGAGGAGGCAGTGGGAGAATCACTAAAATAAACATGAGCAGAGAAGGATTATTGCAGCATAAAAATCTTTGTGGCTGATTTTAGCAGGGGAAGACCACAACAGCAGTCTAGTTACATCCAGGAAGGAAGTGTGTCACATGCAGAGATCTTTAGTCACAGACAAGCGGTTCAGAGTGGGTAATGCATAATATAAATAGCTCCTGAAGTCTAGGCTGGTGCAAGTTCACCTGGCCATCTATCCTAAAAATGCTTAGAAAGTAGTTCTAAAAATACCACATGCAGTTGCTGTGGGATAAATGGAACTTAAAACTTCCATTATGTTCCTGTAAATGAACATTAAATTAGTGAGATGAGCACCAGCCCACTAAAAGAAAGGAAAGAAAATCCCTGCTCCTAAGGCTGATGAAGGCAAGACTGGAGACCCATTCACACACAGAACTGGACATAAATTGTGGAGTTTGAGTAAGGGAAATGAGATCAGTAACAGTTGTTAGTTATGAGTCATCCCTTCACAGTTTTTTGGACCATGGGAGTGAGCAGCATGTTCCAAGTAAAAAATTTACTCCAGTACACCACAGCCTATTTACATCAAACAATATTATTGTGGCTATGGCCTCCAGGGAAGAACTGAGCTGAAGCCATAATGCAACTTTTGATAGCAACTAGAAGTAAATAGAAAGACTGAGAGAAAAACTAATTTAATGAATGTTCCTTATTTAAATATTTATAGAAGATCTTTTGCTCCAGTATTCATTCTACTGAAGGCAAAATATGGCTCTCCCCTGTTAAAATTATGAGGTGAGTAATATTTAATTTAAACTCAAAATGCTTAGTATTAGATCCTGTAGGGTTGTATTGCAATATCTAATTTTTAGATGGCTGGCTTCTTTCTTCTGAATACAGAATGCAGAGCTAAGCACCCCAGTTTCCTGTGTGGAGTAGCAGGGAAGAAGGAGAAGGCTACAGAAAGAAGAAGAAACTGCATACTTTCTTGCTGGGCTTTTTTGTCAGCTGCAATTTACTGTGAACCTGCAGCTTCTTTGTTCCTACCCATCACACAGGAAAAACTTTTCTTCTAGTCTACATTTAATCTATTTCAAGCAGTCTTTTGCCATTCCAACATTAGAGTTTTAGTTAAGGAATGTCTTTTTGAAACATATTGTCCAGTTGTCCCCACTTACTGCTTGTGGCATTGCACGCCTGGAGTCTGTACACTAGACCCCTTTCAGATTAAATTAAGCCATGAGATTCTCCAGGAGCACATTTGATGTGGGTGAACCACAATGCATGTTCAGTCCACTGTACCAGACGAGCTGGTCTTAAGTAACCCTCCTAAAAGGCACCTAATGTAGATGTCAGGCTTTCAGCATGAGCTGTTTCCTTCTGCTGACCCTTCCTATCTTGGTGCATTACTTGTGGTGCAGACAGAGCCCTTCTCTCAGGTTGCTTCAGGTTGCTTGGACTGAAATGTTTTTCTGCTTCCTATTTACCATTGGCCTACAGCTAGTTCTCACCTTCACCAGCATTCAGCTGCCTCTCTGGAAAGCATATGAAAAAAAAATCTGTACAAATTTGTACAAAATCTGTACAAAATTTGTACAAATCTGTACAAAAATATTAACAGACAGCTGACACATAGTGAAAACAAATCACCTGATTATGGAAATAAAAGTGAGAAGCAGCACTTCATTGATTTGTAAGAAAAACTTTTTTAAAAGTTCAATATGTGTCTACTTCACATCTCCTTAGCTGCATAATCACTCATATTTTAAACTCTCCTGAAACACAGCTGCACATGAGAGAGCAGATTTCTGGCAAATCCCAACTTCCCTGCATCAGTGCAGGCAGGCATTTCTTAGATACCCAGATATGATTGTCCACGACTGTGATTAGCACTATTAACATGCTACCTAACTGAATGCCTCCCACTCAGAGGATCAGGGGTACGTAGGGGATTTGTGTCTCAGGGTGCTCCTACTGCCAGGCTGGCAGGTCCCTCTCTGTCCCAGCTCTCATTTCCCACATGAAGAATCATTTTCAGTGAGATGCAGCAGGAGAGCCTTGGTTGGGAGCCCACCCTGTGGGTGTGCAGGGCACTCTCAGAGCAGAGGGTGTCCCTCGTGCAGGACCTGATTTCTCAAACTCTGGCACTTTGGTGTTAGGCTGAGCTGCTCTCCACTGCCAAGGCAGAGCTACACCACAGCGTGCTCTGAAGCAACACTGTAGGTGTTTGTGACAGGATAAATAGTCAAGAAAATGGAAACAGCTGCTGAAATTAGGAATTTCCTCACACAAGCAGAACTATGGAGGTGGATCAAGCTGCAATGAACATAATTTCAGGGCACCAGAAGTTTCCAAACTGAAACATTTTTGAACTCACTGCATTTTAACAACACAGGGGGAAGTACAGAATAATTAGGGTGCAGCAATACAAACTTATTTCAAATAATTTTCTGCTGCAAAATTTCTCACAAGTAATGTCCTTTAATTACCATTCACCCAAGTGACTTAAAGCTTACTGCTCTAGTAGAGGCTATCTAAATTTGAAATCAAATAACCTTCTACAGGCAAAAAGCAGAGACCTTGTTAAGAACAGTGGGTAACCCATGTAGGATTTCTCCAAGCCAAATGGAAAGAGAAAAACAGCCTCTGAAGGCCATGACTGCTCAAAATGGTAGGAACTTACATAATACATTGCATATAAGTGTGTCAGGAACTAAAACCTGGCCTGATGGAATGAGTTGCAAATGCTGAGGAAAGCATACTGGCTCCTGAAAGCATATTAGAGGCTGGAAGCCAGGAAAAAAATAAGAAAAAGTAACAGAGAGAGTTGTCCTGGGACAGATCTCCTGGAGACAGAAAATTTGGGCCAGCAGAGCTGAGAGGAAAAGCTGTTTTGAAAAGAGTGAGCAGCATAACAGTGTGCTGTTCATTTCCAGGTTGTTTTGGGGACATAGGCATGTATGCACTTCCCTGTAAACAAACAGGACTGCTCAACCAAGAATAACCTTACTCACATAATCTTCTCTTGCTAGCAATAAACCCACAGTGCCATTGAGTATGGGCTGACTGAAACAAAGCTGCCATATAATAGGAGCATGTTTGGACAGCCAGCTCCTGCTGCATCAGCTGTTTTGTTGTACCTGGCTCTTCATGCACAGGAATGCAAATGGAGGAGGGTCCCATGTCCCTGGGAAGTGACATTTCTGGTCAACTAACCCACCTGCAATCAACACCTTAAGTGTGTATTCCTACAGTGTCACTGATCTAAAGGAATATCTCTGTTTTAAAGCCTTGGAGTGCAGCCAACAGGGAAACTTTCTGTGACAATGATCCTCCTGTAGCTCCTCAAAAATGACAGATTTCCCTGGGCAGGCAGGATGCTGGAGGTACAGTCCTAAACATTACTTTCAGCAAACCATGGGATATACACAGAATTTCCTGTGGAAAATTGTTTGGGTTGGTTTGTTAGGGTACATGGCATTTAATGTATTTTACAATGGCCTTTTACAACAGAAGGGTAAGAACAGAAATCTAGCTAATTTAGGAGTAAGCTTTCTGAATGTGTGCAGGGACTTAGATGATGTGGTTGCTGTAATATCAAAGGACTGGCCTCAGCCTGTTTAGAGCACCCCCATGATCCTCCTGTTGCAGTGTCTTTGAGGCTAAGCTTTCTGGCAGTTTATGTGGTCTTGACCTTTAATATCACTTGGAGGTCACTATTTTCAGGTGCCACAATAGACCTGTTGTGTAATACAACTTCATGGCATGGGAGGGAAGCTGGGCTCTTTGCCTGCTAACAGGCAAAACCTTGTTACCTCACAAGAAATGGAATCCACTAAAAGTATGGTAGGGACCTGAGGAGAGTTTCCTGAGCATTGGAGGAGAACCTCACACCAAGGTCATCTTGAAATAGCTGTAAGATGTGTCCCCTCAGTCCTGTGCACAGAGAAGCAGGAAACCGTCCAGTGAGCAGTAAGCTGTATCACCTGTAATCCCTGTAGCTCATGCCTCCTCCATGGTTATCAAACCCTGCAGGTCTTTCCTTGCCTAAATAGTCCAGCATAGATAACTGGACCCCAAAACATTGTTTTTTCTGGCAGATAGCTGCTGTATAGGTTTGGGCTGTGTTACTGCTTGGAGTTGACACCAACCACCTAGCTCCCTAGATGACGAGCTCCTTGTGTGTGTTTGCATAAGTTTAACAGCACTTGATTCCTCTGCATCTGCCACACATACTGAGGTTTGTGCCTGCTTAAGGGTTCCCTCCACTGTCTCTTCCTGTTCCCTATCCAGCATGGGAGGCAGGTCTGGCTTGCCCCTTGTTTCTGTACAAGCACCAGTGGAGCTAGGAATGCACATTCTCAAGGACACTGTGCACAAGCACAGGAAACAGCAGAAGGGCACTTGGCTGTGGTATGTGGACCCTACCTACTTCTGCTGCTCCAATCCATGTGTTGGCCCCATGGCTCTGTTCTCCATCCCAAAATGTGATGCTGGATAATTCCCACGGGATCTACATGAAGCTGTGTCACTCCCAGGCTGGGCACGCCCATCTGGGGCTGCAAGCACGCATTGGAAATACAGCTCAGGATGGGTTACATTAGCATGACAAGTTAAAGTCTTGGAGACAAACAAAACCCTTTGGGGTCCATGATCAGCTGTGCCACACCCACTTAAAAGTCCCTGCCTCCCACCAGGGGCTGTCCTTGGCTACCTCCCAGCCTCAGACCCTGCAAAACCTGATCCTGCATTTCTGCACAGCCAGCTTTTGAAAGCAGGTAACCAGGCTGGTATTGCACCCTTTCAGGTGGGCTGCCAGGGAGTTTCCAGGGGCTGCAGCTTGAGCACAGCCTGCCAAGCAAGTGGTCAAGGCACCAAGGAACCAGTTGGGACAGCCCTTGCAGAATATTTTCCTGCCTGCTCTGTTGTCCTCGTGCCTGCCAAGGTGGCACAGTGCCTGCCAGTCTGCTGCCAACTCCCTGTCACTGACAGCCCAGCCAGTGTTACTGCCACAGGGCAGCTTGTTCTTGCTTACATATTCACTCACTCTTTTATGGAGGTATCAGTAATATGCTAACACTGTGGTCTCTTTGGTCAAAGTCTTCTGTGCATAGAAAATGAAAAAAGAAACAACCAAATTCTTTGAACTCCCCTGGGAGCATTTATCCAGAACTAGAGATGGTGAGGAGAGCTATGCCGTACCAAAACCGTATGCAAGCATACTTTATCCTGCTCATATCTGTCCCACATTCCTATGAATCCCTGAGATAAGATCTTGTCCCATACAGCAAATCTGGAGCATCCTGATCTGTATGGACTCCAATTTAGGCTGAACCTCAGAGGTGGATGACCTCTGTAGCTGACATGTAGGTCAACATAAATACATTCAGGTTTTATGGTCACAGCTGCTTGCTGAAGTATGGGGGATCACCTTTATCCCCCCTGTGTTTCTGTGAGGCCTAGGTGTGCAGTGCCCACCTGTGCATCACTCCATATGTGTGGTATGAATGTCAGAGCACTGGAGGAGATGACACCCGAACGGCCTTGCAGGGCAGCTTGCAAAGACTTTCGAGAAATGTACCATACCAAAGAGCATGGGATTTTCCCAGGAGCTGCAGCTCAGTGCTTCTCCAGTGGCACCCTCTGGTTGACCTCTCAGAGCACTCCAGATATGACTCATGATCACTCACAACACCAGTCATCAGCAGGGGGATGTCTTAGGTGTACTTTCATTTGCTGTGCCAAGTTATCTCTCTGCAGAACTACCAAGGTCTTGGCACTCAGAAAATGAAGAAATGTGAAGTTTTGTTCAAACATACAGGCCAAAGCTATGCATGTTAACTATTCACATGGCTCAGGCTGTTTCAGGGGTGACTGTACAAACCATATGGTGGGTATAAGCTCTCTTGACAAGCCCCAGCAAAATGTATTTTAGTTTCAGGCTCAGCAAACTGTCACTGACATAATTCAGTCAAAATACAACATGCTCTAAAGGGATATCTCTGCCTGTTCACTTTCAGGGTAACACCCCTTCCCATTTGGCCATGAGTGGGTTATCTTGGGAAAAACCCAGATGTTTCAAAGAAAACTAGAAGTCATGCCCACATGATATAATAAATTTCAAAGAGATTGAACCTGGGAAGTTTTACCTGGGTCTTGCCCAGGGTAGTCTGTCTCAAGACCAGATGTCCTTTTCCCCACAGATGTCTGTCTCCAAGGCAGCTCTTTCCAGACCTATCTTTCTGTAACTGTATTCATGTAGTTAGAGCTGTAAAAGCCAGGTGAGTCAAATTCCCTTGGTCAGACATTGCCATAATGACTTTCAACTTTGTGCTTTACCCCCTGAAAGTCCCACAGGGAAGAGATCTTAGTAACAATCTCTTGTCTGCTGGACAGAGGGATGTGGGATGGACTCTTACACCAGCAGCACAACTGTCCAAGCCTGCTCACCGCCTGGAAGAAGAACAAATAAAAGGGGGGTTGGAGAAGGAGCCAGGACACACACATTTATATAGGATTTTTGATACAAATGAGCCCTGAGGAAGCAGATCTGTTTGGATACAGTTGGTGGAGGTCCTATTTTCTACAGGGTCCCCTATGGAGACCCACTGACCATTCAGATTGTGTCCACAAGGACAATGATAGTGTTTGCTGTTCTGTAAAGGCCTCTGGTGTGTGCAGCAATGAATCTCCTGTTTTTAACTTAAATGGAACCCATTTTTAACACCCTGCTTAATGGTACATTTATGGCAAAAGAATGACTGTAGCAGGGGATACAAAATGCTATATTTAGAGACAGATTTGCCTGTCAGTTGGAGGTCTCTGAGTAATGAAACTGTCACCTTAGACCCTCATTCCTCAGGAAAATGGGCAGTTGTATCAAGCCTGCAGACAAGAAGTGGTGACAAGATCAGCTCTTGCCAGACAGGCCTAGATAAAGAGTTTTTCCATCAGCTCCACATTGCTGGTTTAGGAATGAGAGGAGGAGGAGGAGGAGAGAGGAAATCCTGCCCAGCCTAACAGAAAGTGGTGACATCATGGCTGTGACACCATTTGCTTCAAAAAGGGATAGAAAGCAAAACCATAGGGACATCTGAGGCTGTGAATGCAACCCCATCATTGCTGGTGATTGTTATGTCACAGTTTTACCAGAAGGAGATATGAGCTTTACCCAAAATCCAGAGATGTCACAAATTATTATTGGCTTCATTATAGGAAAATCCATTTTTGAGCAGTAGGTTGCAACTTGCATATGCCATGTAATGAGTAAAGACCCAAAAAACCCCCTGTGTGTTGCAAGTAATGCTGAAATTCCAGTTAATTAGTGATAGGTAAGGAGACTGAAAATGCACATTCATTGAAAACAATGTTAATTCTCAGTTCCATAGTTAGCAGTATGAGTGACAAGAGTGATGT